TTTTTTTCGGAACCAGGGGTTGAACTCAGACCCTTACGCTTGCCAGGCAAGCGCTTATTCTACTGAGCCATCTCCCCGGCCCCTTCGAGTTGCTCCACAGGCTTGGCACTTTTGATTTTATGCCCCATAACTGTGAGGTTAATATGACTGTATTTCCTTTGCAGAGAAAGAATCTGAGACTTGCTTAAGGGCCACATCTAAAGAGCAGCAGGGCTAAGAGTACGCCCAAGACCTGGCATTTCTCTCTACAATGTACTTTCTTCCCCAAGTTATTTAAAATCACAGTCTGGTATTGTTATGTGATGTTTTGATAAGGAAACTTAAGTTTTCAAATATTGGATTATAAACAAATAATCTCAGAAAGAAAAACATTAAGTTTCAGGCTTTCAGTTGCAAGTTATTTATCTTGGAAAAAGTTCTAGTAATCAGGATGTTTTATAACGGCGTGAGTGTATAACTGGGGGCTAAAAATAATAAATGGTCTGAACCAAATAAATAAACCTACTGAGTTAAGTCCTCAATGGCATCTCAGAGCTAAGTCAATAAGTTTCTAAGTTATGATAAGCAAAATTGAAATGAGATGGTGGTTGAACTCAAACTAAAATGCAATGGAGTTCACACTGCCAGTGGCGCACAAAAAGCACACGATTTCTCCCTAGTGCACAGTAGCTGTCTCCTAGGACCCTGGTGCCAACTCTTGACTACTGGGTCATAACCAGCATAGACCCAAGTCACCCATAATGTTTCCTCGATTCATTTCCTGTATTATTCATTCTGTGCTTTGTGAAAGCTCAAACTGTAGATGGAAGCCTTAGTGGGGATGAATGCAAGCCACAAAAGCACCGAGAGAAAGACTCAGGTCAGGCTGTCCTGTAGGGATGGAGGCCCACTGGAGAGGTGGGCACACCAGTTGTGTGCCTGAAGGTCCCAGGGAAGCTCCTAGGCTCCCTATTTCCCCAGACCTTAAACCAATTTTAGGAACAATCATCCCTTCCCAATGTGTAAAAGTAAACAGGAGCTAGAGTCATCCGCATGCACACCCAGGCAGAGACTTTAAAAACGAGTTTCTCTCACCTACACTGCCTGATTAGATAAAATATCGGGGAGACATATCAATGAAACCAAAATTCTAGCAGCTCAGAAAGCCTAAAGTAGCGGGAAATGGCCTAGGCTGGAATTCTCTCAGAGGATATGCTTAACCCTAGTGCATTGATGACATTCTTTTATATTTTTATAGTTCCCTGCAACTTCCAACAATTACATAACCACCCTGGGAATAAAATCATATTCTTATTTTCACAGATGATTAGGCGTGAGTCACAGCTAGCCATCCTCTGAGTAAAATCTCGGCGTCTCCCCCCAGATCCAACAGTCCATTCATGCAGATCTTACAGGACAAGGCCAGGACTATGGAAGAGGGAAGGGTCAGGCTGGCCTGCATCTCCTACCTTTCATGTGCCATTTGTTAGGCCTATAAGTGGGCGAATTTCCTTCACCTTGTTACACCCCAGTTTCCTCATCTGTAAAGTGAGGGTACATATCGTGTTCAGCTTGTGGTGTTATGTGAGGATTATATGACACACAGCACACTCGACCCAGAACCTAGCCCTTGGTTAGTGCTGGGGGCCTCAGGTGCTTACAGCATGGACCCTGGTTGGCGGAGCCATCTTGGCTCCTCTGTAGCTCAGTGGCCTTCAGGCACAACCCCTCTCCCCCAGGGAACATGTTACTGTATTTAAAGCTCCAAAGAGACAAACAAAAATCTTGAGACATATTGAGAGTGCTGGGGGCCCCATACCAAGCCCAGGGCCAGGGTGGAGAGTGTCTGCCCATCCTTCCCTTCCTCCTCAGAGCCACTGGCACTGGGTCCCCAAGGCAGAGACAAGCCAGCATCCCCACCTGGAAAGCCATGGAGTTGGCGGCAGCCAGGAAAATCCTCAGAGGCAGCTTGGCCTTGTAGGACCTGTGGCTCCACAAGCGGTGGGCACCAGCCGTCACTCCCAGAGCAGTCACGAGGAAGCAGAAGTAGGCTGCAAGACACAAGCAAGGACGGTGTTGGCAATTGTCACCAAGCCTTTCAGTGTCCCTGTGCTTTCTCCCCTCTTGAGTGAGGCCTGCATGAAATGGTATCAGAGGAAATA